CCCCAAAACCCCAAAACCCCAAAACCCCAAAACCCCATATAAATTTTCTTAAGCTGAATAATAAAATAATGAATAATTACCATATCTACGAAGACATTGGTTCTGGGAAGTACTCAACTGTTTATAAGGTAAGTTTAGCCAATAGAACCACTCTAGGGACGTAAGAAAAAGACCATCGAATATGTGGCAGTCAAATCCGTTGAAAAATCGCGTAGAAAGAAGGTCCTCAACGAGGTAAGATGCTTATCTGACAAAGTAGGTTAGAGTCCTGCATAATTTTTGGGGCAAGAAGTCTAACTATCAACACTTGAAGAACCGCCATATTCTCAAGTTTCATGGATGGTATGAGACAAAGAACCATCTCTGGATTATCTTTGAGTATTGTGCTGGAGGTGACCTGTTTTTCCTATTGAACAAAGACAAAAAGGTACCGCTCTTGGCCTGATATTTATAGCTCCCAGAGACAAGCGTCAGGAGGTTCGGAAGAGACCTTGCAGAAGCTCTTTACTATCTACACTCGAACTCTGTCATCTATGCAGATTTAAAGTAAGCTTTCCAAATAATATAATAGACCTTCTAATGTGTTGCTTAATGAATTCGGCATGCTAAAACTATGAGATTTCGGCTTAGCTAAGAAAATTCTTGATCTTAATCAAGTGGAGAATGAAACCCACAAGCCGAAAAGCGGGACTCCGTACTATATGGCTCCTGAACTGTTCCAAGACGGAGGCGTTTACAGTTTCGCTAGTGATTTTTGGTCACTCGGATGAGTCCTTTATGAATTAGCCACAGGCAAACCCCCGTTCTCAGCTGGAGGCTTAAGAGAACTTATAAACGAAATTCTGGAATCATCATTTGAAAAAGTAGAAGGATTCAGCCCAGAATTCCAAGACTTGTTGGAAAAATTACTTGAAAAAGATCCACTGAGGAGAATTTCTTGGGATCAGCTTCGGAAGCATCCATTCTGGGAAGAAGAATTGCCTAAAAGGTCTCTTCCAAGGCAGCCACAGTTTGACAATTACGTGAAATCCAAAGGTCTGGTTCCTGATGAGTTTTACAAGCAGCAGGAGAAGAACTCATATTTCATTCCACTAATCGAACCGGGTTCAAAAAAGAAGAAAGTGGATATTACAAGGCTATCCATTACTGTAAGTCACCCCTGCAACCGTTTAGGCTAAGAGAAACCTCATGGAGGCAGAGGACAACTATGAAAATGAAAAACTTAAAGAAACTGATGTAGAAGATGATTTCCAAATCGGCAGAGACCAAGAACTTGATTTTAGTGAGAAAACTAAGTAATTTACCCCTTTGAACAAATCTGACCGGTTTAGAGAAACTAGGAAGACCAAAACTAAAGGTCAAGATGAAGAGGAAAAGAAGGCAGGTGGTGTGTCTGGGAAAAAGAAAAGGAAATCAAAAATCCCTGTCACTAAAGAGATTACTCAGGACCATGTCAATAAATTCACAGCTGGAAAGAAAATGAAGGCTAATCGAGCTGATTTCAAAATGGATAATTCCAAAACTGATTCAGTAAGATAGTCTTTCAATGAGACCTCGAAAATGATAAATATTTGTTTGGGCTCTCTAGTTTTGTTCTTTAAGAAGTTAAATCTCACTAATTTGAACTTCATCTGACCACGATATAGAATGAAAAATCAGGAGCGAGAGAAAAGTAGGCATTTCCATATCTTTTCCTTTGCAAAATCGAATCTTAAATATATATAGAATGCTGAATAACAAGCTTCAGATCAAAACAGTAGACCAGTTGTTGCTTCATAATACTGACACTTCAGTGAAACCTATTATTGGGAAGGAGGTGGAAGAACTTCCGGAATTAGAGTATAAGTACGTACTCACATTGCACCACCATATGGGCTCGAAGGGTGACCCTTTGGAAGCCTATTTTATTGAGCTTATTATCTGATCAGATTATTATCAGGATTCTACCACTTTTGTCTAACATAGTTAACCATGCATTTATAGCAAAACATTATTACCCTTCGAACCATTATCTCCAGAGGAAGTGTCTAAATAACTCTGAGGGGAGAGACATTGAAGACTTCTTTACAGAGGTGTACAAGTCTCTGTCAGGGTCAGGAGTCACTAAGGAGAAGATTAATAGTCTGACATACTTAGAATCTTTGATCACAAACAGTAGTACAGCGAACAGGTTAATCAACAGTGCCTTCGTGTCATTGTTGCTTAGGATGATGCATACAGTTAAGTCCCCTCAGATAAGAATGAGGCTTTGCTCCATATTAGGTCAGCTGATCAGACACGCCACCGTAATACAGAATAGTTTAGCTCAAAGTGATATCTGAAAGTCTCTCTGTGATGCTGCTGTCAAGCAGAATGAGCAAGTAAGACGTCGTGCTGTAGCAGCATTAGGCGAGTATCTTTTCTATGCTGCAACTCAAATGGACGAGGAGAATGAAGATTCTAAGTACTGGGAAATCGATTCTGAAGCAGTTAAAACAATTGGTAAACAGCTCTCTAATGATTGTGATGAGATTACCAGGTATTATGCAGTCAAAACTATTGAGAATATCACTGCCCAATCAATGAAGGCAGGTCTCTTATTCTCTAAAGAGGAGTTTGCTTTGTCTCTGCTGGAGATTTATAACACTACTGAAAATGAAGGTCTTAAAATTTCTGCAGCAGTGTCAATCTCCCATATATGTAAGATTAACAATAGTATTTTTATGATCGTATTCGAAGAGATGACTTGTCAGAATTATTGTACTTTATTACTGGAAGGTCCTCAAAGAGTCCAGCAAGCCTTCATCACTATGCTGAACATTGCTCTGACAGGCACATCCAATAACCTGAACTACATTCTGATGGAAGAGCCTAGGTTTAAAGAAGCTATGAGCAATATGTTGGAGAATTCGAATCCGGTGATCAAGGGTAAGTCTATCCTTACCATTCTACTGCTGTTTAAAATGGATCCTCACTGGATGGTTCTCGTTGATGAGTTCAAGTTCTACACCATCTGAGACAGGATGTCTAAGGATTATTCTAAATATATCCAGTACTGCTGCTTATGCTTGATTGACGGAATCCATGATTTAATTTCAAAGATTGTGTCAAATATCAGAGCAGACTTCGACAGATATCTTGATGATAGAGATTGCTTCGCTTCTGAGAAACAGACAATCCTTTCTAAAACAATGAAGGAAGCCAAGAAGAAGATCAAGACTGCTAAGGCTACCAACCTTCATGGCTATATGGTTCAAATCGTAGCGATATCAGATCTGCTGAAGTCTCACCTTTTCAAGAACAAGATCATTTCTAAGGACGTGATTGTTCTTATAGGATACATTCTGAATAACTCTGGGACGAAAGAAGATGACGATACCATTCAGGAGTTGAAGACTTATACTCTCCTGATTCTGGAGCAAGTATGCAAGAATACGAAAGTGACTCTCAACTTTAGCAAAATAATTGTGGATCATATCCTGCCTGCACTGGTGAGCAAGATCCAAGACTCAGATAATGAGACTAAACTTCTTTGCCTCAAAGCATTGACTGACTTAATAACTAAGTATCTAAGAGATGATAAGATATATGATGCTGATGGGACTCAGGAAACAACAAAGAAGATCAATGAGGTTATTCTAAAGAGGCTCTTCCCTCACTATGGAAGCATCCTCTCAGATGATGGCTACTTACCACAGTTTGGTCTTAAGCTTCTCTGTGCTATTGTGGAAACGAACTCTGCATTTGTAACTATTCTGAAGAAGCTGAAGCTAGTGGATATAATGATGGAATACTTCTCTGAAGATCACCCCAGATTTAACGGCCATCTTATCAAGATTGTTTGTGGAATTGTGGAGAGCAAGGAGCTTAAGCTAGAGGACCTCCAGGAGTACAACCTAGTCAGCAGATTGAATAAGGTGCTTAGCGGAGTCATTGACAATGAATCACAGAACTATCTTGACCCATTACTTGACATTGTCTACGAGCTGCTTCATTATATAGCAGAGACAATGAGAGAGCCAGTATGAATTTGTTTCTAACTTATAGGACACAGATGTAGCACAATCAACGTTTAAAGGACTTGTTAACGAAAACTTTGAGATGTGAGTAAAGCTTTTAGGGTTCCCCCATCTTGCTATCGTAGAGAAGGCGAGCCAGAATTTGATCGGATTCATCCAGATTTCTACCATGACCACTACAAGTGAGTGTAAGGTATGCTTCTACTCAAGACATTTGGACTCAATGTTCAAAGCCTTATCTCATAAAAAGGCAACTGTGAATAAGAGAGTCTTGAAATGTATCTTCTGGGGGCTTAACCAGCAAACTGCCGTTTTGTCCCTGACCCCTTCTGAAAAGAAAGAGTTAAATAAAGTTTGTGAAGAGTGTGCCAGATCCGATGATCCAGGCTTACAAGTCACTGCAAATGAGATTTTGAAGATGAAATTATAGCTATCAGAATAATTTTCAATAATACTGAGCCTTAACGGGGTTTTGGGGTTTTGGGGTTTTGGGGTTTTGGGGTTTTGGGGTTTTGGGGTTTTGGGG